CTTCCAAGCAGCTTTTGCCTGAGGAGGAAGCAATTGCCCCCACCCTGCAAGAAAACCTCTCGCCCTCCCCCCCTGGAGTTTCTACAGCCTGAGGCTCATTAAGAGAATCAGGTTTATCAGCCTGCAGGCAGAGGCAGACCTCAGAGTGCTTTGAGTCTGCATGATCTGCTTCTGGACCCAGGCCTTGCAAAAGCAGACTTCGGTGTGCATCTCGGTCTTCTCCTAACACACTCAGCTCCAACAGATTGGACCTCAAGCTGTGGGTTGTTGATAGCTCTAAACAGGGTACTCAAGGCCACTCACAAACAGCGTCTGGCATTGGCCTGCACTAGAGACCCTCCAAAGGGACAGCTTGTCCTTGCAGGCCAACAATATTTAGAAACAAACCCAAATAGGCAGCTATTATGGCAAGCATTACCTACTAACTGACCCTGACACGGAACCCTAACCCAAAATTTCACCCTAACAATAGGCCTAACCCTAGCCTAAACACTATCCCAAAACCTAAACTTAACCCTACCCATAACCATAACCAAAGCCCTAGACCTAACCCTACCCTAGCCCTACCCTAAACACTAGCCCTGACCCCAACCTGACCCTGACCCTAACCCCCTAGCCCCAACCCTGTCACTATCAAGAGAGGCAGGCAGTGTGGCGAGAGGCAGCAACTGTATCGCAAGAGGCAAGTAATATCAGGAGAGGCAGCCAGTGTTGCAAGAGGCAGCTGCTATGGCGAGAGGCAGGGACTATCTCGAGGCAGGCATTATCGGGAGAGGATGGCACTATTGAGAGGCAGCCAGTGCCACAAGAGGCAGGCACAAAATATGGGCAGCCCTAAAATCTGGAGTAGTTGAAAAAACAATCAGAGGCATCTAATCCAATTAACAAAGGCCAAGGAGAACTCTGCCCAGCCCACCCCTGACAGATGGGGACCCAGCCTGTACGGGAGCTGCTGCAGGGAGAGGAGCCCATACCCGCCAGGACCTCCCCTCACGTGCCCAGCACACTCTGGGTGTAGACAGCTGCGTTATCAGGAAGATTTTATTCTATTGAGACTGTTAACATAAGAAACATTCACCTGTGAAGAATTTTTGTGAGTTTATTTGAGCCAAATTGTCACCATATACCAGGGAGAAAAATTTCAATGGATTGAATTTATGACCAAAAGGGAAATACATGAAGCAAAAGGAGCCCAACAGTAACCTGACACGCTCAGGCAATGACTGCGTGACAGCCTCGGTAACTCAGACCTAAAGTAACTTAAAAGGACAGTCCAAAATGAACACTTTCTAACTAAAAGCAGTTTGTGGCAGACGGTCACGTCCTAGACAAGAACCTTCCCTGACAAGAGCCATCTTTACCCTCACTAGGCCTGTCTGTTGTCTGTCTCCTTTAGTTTTTCTTATATTTGGAAAATAGAAAGATTTAAAAATTAGAAATATTTTTAAAAGTCATAAGAATAGTAATTACTAGTGTATTTAGTCCCATAATCAATTTCTTGTTAATTTTGATTATTTGCCAGTATTTTTATGAATTCAGTTATTTCTTAGAGTTTTATACATTTTTATTTAGTTTCATGACCTATTTAGAAACCTGTAATTTAGTGTAAATCAGTCCTTTTCATGGATTTTTTAAAAATATGTAATTTATTTATAAATGTATTAGAGTAAAACAATGACTGTCTATAAATGACAAAACTTAAAGTGGAGTAGTTATAGATTTCATTATAAATTGACAAAAACTTTGTTTTTTAATAATTAATGTACAATGACAGAGAATAATATAAAGTCCATATATTTTTTCAATTTTATATATAATTTCAAATAATATGTAATATTTTAAAACATTGCCCATAGCTTTTCAGAATTTTGAATAAATGTTATTTTTCTGCATTGCTTAAGTAAACTGCAACAAACTAAGCCATTTTCATTTTAGGGAAAAGTGTACTAGAAAACATGGGATAATTTATAAATAATAAGCTAGGCTCTTGTGGTGACAACACCAGAAGCCTTTCCTTTGCTCACCCAATTGGTCTCTTGACAGTCAGGGGGGAAACTCTTTTGAACCGTTCAGTCCAAATCGCTCCTTTTCTAACTTGCACTTCTTTGTGTGCAGTTGCAGCAGCTCTGACAGAGGAAACTCCTCAGCTTTTGGTGTCTACAATTGATCTGAGCCTGGGTCTGCCATTTACAAGGAATTTTTTTTTTTTAACAGGAAACAAACCCCTTAGGGTCTTTATTTTGTTACTAATAGATTTCTCATTTAATATTTCTTATAACTATAGCTAGTCCCCAGTATTCTCTTTCTGTCCCTAATAGCAGATAACCAGAATTGTAGCTTCAGTAGTTAAGTAAGTAATGATATCTCTCTTACCAGCTGAAACATTATCTGCTTATACTTGTGCTAGTATTCCAAAGGCACATTAATATCATAATCACGAATGCTTTGGGTTGATGAGTATTACTTAACATTTATTGAGTAACCATTAAACTATGATAATATCTTTAAACCAGAACAAAGTGATAACTCATCTAATAAACCTTTTTAAATTTTTGTAAAACTCGGCATTGCTACAAATATAATCTCAGTAGACACACTATTTTGTATAGTATAAAAAGAGCAATTGCCATTAGCTGTAATACCCTCAAAGGAGGTCTGAAATGGATAGAGAAGCCATAAAAAGGAGTAAAGAAAGAAAAAAATGTATACTGATAACTTTTACATAGATAAGAAAGAAACCTTAGTTGTAAAAATATAATGAAATAATAAAGACAGTGGTCAGTCAGAGGGCAAACTATAATCTTCATCAAAAATCAAGAAATGCTCTTAACTTTTTCTGACTAACAATTTCTTTTAGTGAGATTCTGGGACTGTGCGGAATTTGTTCACATACTTCTTTGCTTATTGATTTCGCAAATAGTTATTAAGCACTTATTACTGTGCCAGGTATTTTGTTAGATGCTGGAGATGTCATAGTGAATGAGACACATGGTTTCTGTCCACACAAAGTCAGCTGGGGGGTCAAGGGTTGGTGGGTCACTGAAATGTGAATACACTGTTACCGTAGACTGTGACTGTGACAGGATAGGAATGCAATTTTGTTGATTCTTCTTAAAAGTTTCTTTGGATCAATAGATCCCATGCTGCAGCTGTAAAAACATTGCTGTTTATTTTCTAAATTGTTCACTTTTTCAGGGCATGCTACATCTGGACTCCTCAGTTCCCAGGTTCCTGCAGACCTGTAACTGCCCTTGTATTATCTCAGAGGTGGATCCTTGTATTGTATTGTGTCCTGATGCTGCTGACCCGCAGAAGAGGGCGCATATTAGAGGACATCATTCCTGCATTTTCCTCTAGGATTTCCAGCTGATGCCTAAATGCACTTTTTGGAAGAAAGACCAAAATAAAGACCCTTCTTAATGACACAGGAGAAGTAATTTCAATTGTCTAAAATCTGCTTTTCCTCACGCCACTTTGGATCTACGGCTGGGACTTCAAGCCTCATTTTTGGTTTGTTTTTGACTCTGTCACCTCTCAGGCATCTGAAAACTAAGACCTGCCTTATTTACCTTTGCAGACCCTGTGAGCACATGTTTGATGAACGACTCAGAGAAACACAGAAGAAAAATTATCATTTGAGATCATGACTGTGTTCCTATTGCATTTGATCTGGACATGTTCAAAACTTTGATTTTTAAACCACTACCAACAAAGAAAATTAAAAAAAAATAAAGACAGAAAGCAGGACAAGATTGGTGCCCAACTGTCTTTGGGTGTTTTTTTTTAAATATTTTACACGTGAAAGATAATTTTAGAGCATTAGCTCAAGAAAACAGCGTTTCCTTGTCTTATGTTATTCATAACCTTCATTATTGTCTATGTGTCAGGGACAATTAAGTACAAAATCAAAACTAAATTATTAACCTATTTTGTGAAATGAAACCTAAATCCGACATTGTTCCTAAAGTGCCAAACAGGTATGAAAAATTAACAAAACATTATAAAAAATTTACTTCCTCTTAGACAACAGATATTCAAAAACTATTTTCTAGCAAAAGCAGCAGCCATCAAGAAAGAACTGATAACCCGAAAAAGACCTGCAAATTTCCAGCAAGGAACCCTCCCTGGAGGGGCCGAACTTGAAACCCTGGGGTGCTGCGGCCGCCCCTGGGCAGTGCCCCCCTCCTCAGCTGGGAAACTCCGGGTGCGGGGAGGAGAGGAGGGTGCGGGCCGGCCCTGCTCACGCCCAAGGTCGGTCCCTCCTCCCTGTCCCCTCCTCCCGTCCCCTTTCCCCGCCCCTCCTCCCGGGTCCCCTCCTCCCGTCCCCTTTCCCCGCCCTCCTCCCGGGTCCCCTCCTCCCGGGTCCCCTCCTCCCGTCCCCTTTCCCCGCCCTCCTCCCGGGTCCCCTCCTCCCGGGTCCCCTCCTCCCGTCCCCTTTCCCCGCCCTCCTCCCGGGTCCCCTCCTCCCGGGTCCCCTCCTCCCGTCCCCTTTCCCCGCCCTCCTCCCGGGTCCCCTCCTCCCGGGTCCCCTCCTCCCGTCCCCTTTCCCCGCCCTCCTCCCGGGTCCCCTCCTCCCGGGTCCCCTCCTCCCGTCCCCTTTCCCCGCCCTCCTCCCGGGTCCCCTCCTCCCGGGTCCCCTCCTCCCGTCCCCTTTCCCCGCCCTCCTCCCGGGTCCCCTCCTCCCGGGTCCCCTCCTCCCGTCCCCTTTCCCCGCCCTCCTCCCGGGTCCCCTCCTCCCGGGTCCCCTCCTCCCGTCCCCTTTCCCCGCCCTCCTCCCGGGTCCCCTCCTCCCGGGTCCCCTCCTCCCGTCCCCTTTCCCCGCCCTCCTCCCGGGTCCCCTCCTCCCGGGTCCCCTCCTCCCGTCCCCTTTCCCCGCCCTCCTCCCGGGTCCCCTCCTCCCGGGTCCCCTCCTCCCGTCCCCTTTCCCCGCCCTCCTCCCGGGTCCCCTCCTCCCGGGTCCCCTCCTCCCGTCCCCTTTCCCCGCCCTCCTCCCGGGTCCNCGAGCGCTCGCCTCTGCTGTCAGCCCCCCACTCGGGAAACGCCACCCCCACCGCCCCGCCGTACTTGCAAGAAAGCAGCCCCCGAGGTAAGGCCAGCGTCGGTCTCCCCGCCCCGCGCGTGGGGACCGTCTCCACCCGCAGGGGCTGGGCTGGGCTGCGGCTGCGGAGGGAGCTGCCCTGGGCGGGAGGCGAGGGATGCTGCCCAGGCTTCCTGGGTGGGGTGGGGTGGTGTGTGTGCCTGAGTGTGGGTGTGGTGTGTGTGTGTGTCTGTGTGTCTGTGTGAGTGAGTGTGTCTGTGTGCCTGTGTCTGTGNGGTGTGTGTGTGTGTGTGTGTGTGTGTGTGAGTGAGTGTGTCTGTGTGCCCGTGTCTGTGTGTGTGCGCGTGCCACCCTATGTGACCCAGGTAGGATGTGGCATGAATTCCGGGGCTGGGCTTCTCTGCTTTAGAGCAGAGGCGCAGACCTATGCAGCTGGGAGGTGGTGCTGGTCTTTCACAGTCATTCACAAACCCTTTCAGCAGAGGAGCCCTGGGCGCACCGCTCACCTTGGCATCTGTCCTTGAAAAGGCTGAGTTTGAAAATGTGCATCTCCCATCAGTGCCCTGTTGGGTCAAGGAATTGCCTTAACAAAGGGATAGAATAAATCCGTATTCCTAACATGCCTGAAATCCCTGCCCTGCCCTGTTACCCCTGCTTCTGAACGGTATGTGTTAGCTTGTGAATGAGGCGGGAAGGGAAAATGGGATATTCTTGATGTGTATTTGGTGAGATAGAAATTAACTTTTAATAAGTAACCCAAGTTAGTACTGCACATATTTCTATACACTTTTATTCTCTAGATAGAATCCAAAAAGATTTAATAGCTATGGGATCTGGAGAAAGAAGGGGGGTTTTTTAAACTCATTCAAAGATCTTTGTTCTAAGCCTTTTAGTTGATTTCTTTGGGAGAAATAAGGTGGGGTCAGGAGTATTGAAGTGGAAGGCAAAAATTAAAAAAAAACCACTTAAGAGTAGTGAGAAGATTGGTCAAATATGGCTCTTATAAATGTAGCTTAAGTGCATCTCTCTGTTTTAGCTGAAAGTGAGGAGTTTAAAAACCCAGGAGGCGGACATTAATGCTTTTGACAGTATGGGCAGGTCATGTTTCTTGTACACACTTTTTCCAAGTTCCAGTCTGGAATTGGAGTGGCTGTAAAGCAGGTTAAACTTGTCTAGTATTTTAAAATTTTTTACTTAAAACATTATAATTTGAAAAGCAACAATAGATATCTTAATCCACACTTAACAAGAAGTGGGAGAGGGAAAAGGCATTTAGCTATGAAGAGTTCAGCATGATCAGTGAGTTCAGAAATAAGATGCTAAATGGAACAGAGGCTCACCCAAGAAAGCGTACAAACTGTGCTTTTGGTCAGCAGTAAACTTCTGCCAGAGGATACCAGGTGTAGCAAATTTGATAATATTTCACTGTTATCTAAATATTACGGTCTAGAATAGGTTTAACTACTTATCAATGAATGTTTCAACTTTATCAAGTCACCCTTTTAAAACAAAATATTTAACAATTTGTTAAGAAGCAGAGTTTGGATTTAAACAACTGTCCAATAATAGATTTTCATGTCCTCTATGTTGCTTCTATGTTTTTTATCAAACACTGGCTAGATTATCACCAAATGGTCATACTCATAGATCTGCCTGTAGACTTCATCATTTGACATATATTTGTTTAATCTGACAAGACTCCTCAAACTATACAGTAAGGTACAAGTTTCAGTTCAGCTGCTGAGAAAAAGAAGTTTCATTCCAGAAAACTTTTAAGAACCAAAGAAATTCAATGTGTTAAAAAACAAAATCGGAATGAGTACATTTTAGATATTGGCTTTATTCAATGATTCATGACTCAGGCAGCATCCCATCTAGCCAATAGAAAGGAGCTCTCAGGAGCTGTAGCAAACGAAAGACTGTTATAGGCAGAAGGAAGAGGGAACAGGGAAGTCACACTGTAAAACGTGGATTGGTTGTGACCAGTGCTGAACACATAGCTCCTCACTGACTGGTTTAAGATTCCATCTCTGGGAGAGGCTGAAAATGTGATTAAGTCTCCTTTTGGTGTCGTAGGACTTAGTGTAAATAACTCCATTTTGGGCCTGTTGTCTTGTTTTTGACAATTAGTTTAGCAAAAAGCTCTTTCCGCCTTATGGTAGAATAACTTTTCTTCCTAACTGGAAAAAGAGACAGGTTAAATAATTTGAAACTAATTTCATATGGCATTATACCTAGAAAGCAAGAAGCTTAAATGTGAAGTAAAGGCATTATATTTGCATTTTTTGACAGATTTTCACATGGTAGGAAGAGAGCAAGGGAGCCTTGGCCAATCTGGCTTAGTGCTTAGCGTGTTGGCCGGTGGACTGAANATGGGATATTCTTGATGTGTATTTGGTGAGATAGAAATTAACTTTTAATAAGTAACCCAAGTTAGTACTGCACATATTTCTATACACTTTTATTCTCTAGATAGAATCCAAAAAGATTTAATAGCTATGGGATCTGGAGAAAGAAGGGGGGTTTTTTAAACTCATTCAAAGATCTTTGTTCTAAGCCTTTTAGTTGATTTCTTTGGGAGAAATAAGGTGGGGTCAGGAGTATTGAAGTGGAAGGCAAAAATTAAAAAAAAACCACTTAAGAGTAGTGAGAAGATTGGTCAAATATGGCTCTTATAAATGTAGCTTAAGTGCATCTCTCTGTTTTAGCTGAAAGTGAGGAGTTTAAAAACCCAGGAGGCGGACATTAATGCTTTTGACAGTATGGGCAGGTCATGTTTCTTGTACACACTTTTTCCAAGTTCCAGTCTGGAATTGGAGTGGCTGTAAAGCAGGTTAAACTTGTCTAGTATTTTAAAATTTTTTACTTAAAACATTATAATTTGAAAAGCAACAATAGATATCTTAATCCACACTTAACAAGAAGTGGGAGAGGGAAAAGGCATTTAGCTATGAAGAGTTCAGCATGATCAGTGAGTTCAGAAATAAGATGCTAAATGGAACAGAGGCTCACCCAAGAAAGCGTACAAACTGTGCTTTTGGTCAGCAGTAAACTTCTGCCAGAGGATACCAGGTGTAGCAAATTTGATAATATTTCACTGTTATCTAAATATTACGGTCTAGAATAGGTTTAACTACTTATCAATGAATGTTTCAACTTTATCAAGTCACCCTTTTAAAACAAAATATTTAACAATTTGTTAAGAAGCAGAGTTTGGATTTAAACAACTGTCCAATAATAGATTTTCATGTCCTCTATGTTGCTTCTATGTTTTTTATCAAACACTGGCTAGATTATCACCAAATGGTCATACTCATAGATCTGCCTGTAGACTTCATCATTTGACATATATTTGTTTAATCTGACAAGACTCCTCAAACTATACAGTAAGGTACAAGTTTCAGTTCAGCTGCTGAGAAAAAGAAGTTTCATTCCAGAAAACTTTTAAGAACCAAAGAAATTCAATGTGTTAAAAAACAAAATCGGAATGAGTACATTTTAGATATTGGCTTTATTCAATGATTCATGACTCAGGCAGCATCCCATCTAGCCAATAGAAAGGAGCTCTCAGGAGCTGTAGCAAACGAAAGACTGTTATAGGCAGAAGGAAGAGGGAACAGGGAAGTCACACTGTAAAACGTGGATTGGTTGTGACCAGTGCTGAACACATAGCTCCTCACTGACTGGTTTAAGATTCCATCTCTGGGAGAGGCTGAAAATGTGATTAAGTCTCCTTTTGGTGTCGTAGGACTTAGTGTAAATAACTCCATTTTGGGCCTGTTGTCTTGTTTTTGACAATTAGTTTAGCAAAAAGCTCTTTCCGCCTTATGGTAGAATAACTTTTCTTCCTAACTGGAAAAAGAGACAGGTTAAATAATTTGAAACTAATTTCATATGGCATTATACCTAGAAAGCAAGAAGCTTAAATGTGAAGTAAAGGCATTATATTTGCATTTTTTGACAGATTTTCACATGGTAGGAAGAGAGCAAGGGAGCCTTGGCCAATCTGGCTTAGTGCTTAGCGTGTTGGCCGGTGGACTGAAGAGTCTCGAGTTCAGTTTCGGCCAAGGGCAGGTACCTTGGTTGCGGCTCGATCCCCGCCCTGGTTGGGGTGTGTGTGGGAGGCAACCAGTCGATGTGTCTCTCTCACATCATTGTTTCTGTGTCTGTGTCTCCCTTCCACTCTCTGAAACTCAATGGAAAAAACATCCTTGGGTGAGGATTAGAAAAAGGCAGAGGAGCACTGGTCCTGTTCATGGGCTCCACCCTCATGGCCCGATCACCTGCAAGAGGCCCCACTTCCCAAAACCATCACGTGGGGGGGTTAGGAGATGAATGTGTCACTTTTTCAGGGAACACAAACATTCAATCCAGTGCACAGAGAGTCCTTGAATATATTAGGGTACCCTTTTCATTTCTGAACCTCCCCGCGTCATTGCGGAGTTTAAGGTTGGGTGTGGACTGGCAGGAAGGCATGACAGTGCACACCACACACAGTGCACGGTAAGATTACAGTGAATTCTCACTTTGTTGGAGAAAACCAGCCAGCAGAATGAAGACATGAGAGGTATATCACTCCCACATCTCTCAGATCTTTTGTAGTGGAACCAATCTCTGCACTCCTCCAGGGATGTGGCATTGCTTTTGGTAGAATTTCCAGGGACCTCTCTGTGAACCTACCTACCTTGACCCGTGGGCCAGAGAACCAACAGGGGTATTTTGCTGGTGGTCAAGAATGTCTGTCTCAATCATATATTCAGGAACCAGGAACATAACTTCAGAGTGGTCCTCAGGTCTACTGGGACCACTGCGAGTTGGGCCTGGGGTAAGCCATCACCTATGATCTAGTAGCCATGAGCCTTTTCTTTGTTTGGTGAACCACAGTGGAATTTTGAGTCAGGAATTAGCACCATTTAAAAGCTAGTTTCTACTAATCCCTGAAAGACATACTTATTTTCTGTTGTCCAGTCTATCTAGTACAGGGCAGAAATTTAAAATAGGTACAATGGTGATCTGCTGACCCTTTTAACCTGAAAAGAGACCACGTGAACAATCTATTGCTAATTATTGTAGGTTTACTAACTGTGGAATAAATTTCTGGAATTACAAGTCCTTTATAACAGCATATAGTGAAGGTGTCCTTGAAATAAAGGACAAGGATATATGTCTAAATTTGCTTAGGGCTAAAGTAATGGGCGGAACATTGAAATAATAGGCCTGAGAACATTGTTTATGGTATCAATTAGGCAGCAACATCCGTCATTCTATTGCTCTCCTGAATGGATTCCATTCCTCTGGTGGCCCACATGTCCCCTCTCTGCATGGTTTGGGGAGTGCATTCTTCTGTGTGGAAAAGAGCCCTTTTTTCAGTCAAGCTGACTCCCCTGCTCAGACCCAGCTCTTCTGTAAGGCTTAATGTTACTTTCCCAAGAGAAAGACATGTGCCTGATAAATTTCAGTCTCTCACTAATTCATTTATCCTTTCATTCATCCTTCCAAACAATACGTACTTAGCATCTGTCAGAGACCAGACACTATAGCAGAGCTGGTAAACCAGCCCCAAGAGAGCCTCATGGAATTTACAATCTCCCAATTTTAGATTTATAACCCTCACTTGGTATTCCTTCTCCCTCCCCATCCACTTCTAACACTTCCAAAATAGTAGATTTGGGCATATTTTATCATTGAAGCCTTTTTTTAAGATTGTAAGTTATGCAGTACAAATTTTAGAGAAAAAATTCACAGGGTTTTGCTGCCTGAAATTAACATGGTTCCATCCAAATTAGCTTTGCTCCGTATTGATAAGTTTATTTTTCCTAGGTTCATTTTTGTCTTTCCTTGACTGACACCAAAATTCTATTTTGTTTGTCATAGCCAGCCGTTAGTATACTGGTTCCAGTACGAACTCAGCAAGACAGCTACACGACTTATCTGTATGTTTATAAGCTATTTAAAAACTTTGCTTTCGTTGAATGTTTCTATTTCTTAGTAGTCAGATCATTAGTGTAAGATTTTTTACTTTAGGTGTAAATCATCACTTTTCCAATACTAGCCCTATGGGTTTGCACATAGGAAGGCAGTTGATGTTTGGGGTATAGGTTTGCAAACAGGAACTGGGGCATTGGGGTAGATCTTGGAAAAACAATTTGTATTTTATTTGTAGAGTTAGGAATTATTCTACTTCTCAAGACACTCCCATGTGTGTTTCTGCTCTGAAATTACAATAAATTGACTAGTTTTATACATATCACTCAAAGAACAGGAGACATTTTTGATAGTTTCCTGTGCTCAAACCAGCCATACTGTATGTGACTGACTCGATGATGGTGTCTTTTCAGCAGAACTGCCCCCTCCATACACCGCCATTGTCAGTCCGGACGCCAGTGGCATTCCCGTAATAAACTGTCGTGTGTGCCAGTCGCTCATCAACTTGGACGGCAAGCTTCACCAGCATGTGGTTAAGTGCACAGTTTGCAATGAAGCTACAGTAAGTGGAGATTTCCACTAATAAAAGCGTCAATTGTTAACTGACATCTGTTCCCTCAAGGAAATGTTCCAATGATGTAACTTAAGAGTAGGTGTGGGCTGGACACAGACATGGCATATTTTTTCACCCTCTTTCTGTTCTCGGCTCTGTTTCTCTTGGCAGATAGGGATGCCTCCAGTTGTTTAAAGCTCACTTCCTTACGAAAATGTCATAGCGAGTTTAAATATAATGGCCTTTGGCTCCTTACTTTCTAAAACAAACTGAACATAGACAGTTATTTGTCATTATCTTCAGTGTCTACTCACATCACAGTGAAATCCATTCTCATTTCCACTAAAGTGAAAATATACTGAGGTTCACCACAAGTGTGCACTTGGTACTTATGTGCAAAATTATTTAAACTTATTTTATGTCTATAGGATGTCAGTATGGCCTTTCAGATTAGGAATTTATTATTGACTTCTGTGTCAAATTGTTTATAAATTGCATGGTATTTTATTCCATTTACTTAATATTAATTTAGTAAAATGTCCAAAAATTTGAAGGGCAATATTTTTTTTTTAGCTGAACTTTGCAAAGAACAACTAAATTTTAAGTAAAATTTTCAGTTTCAAGTAATAAACTGGTAAACTGTATACTGGTTAGATTAACTATATTTCTGCTTTTATGGTTAAGATTTATTTTTAAAATGCCAATCTCTCTCAAAATCTGCAATTAAATAGTAATTTAATTTGTGTTATTTGTATTTTTTCCCTCTTTAGAAAAGTCAAAAAAATGTCAGCCAGTGATTATTGTGTCTCTAAAACCCATAAAACATGGATGCTGGGCTTTACATGTTTTATATAAAAATCATAAACTAAAACCTTAAGTTACAAATCAAAATATCCCATTGTAAATATTTTTGTATAAAACCAGCTATTTTTTTTAAGTTGAACACTTAGTAGTAAATTTAATTAGCATTAACCTCATTAGCGTTTTGTAGAGTTGAAAAGCAAATACAAGTTGTTAGACATAAATAGTAATTTAAAAAATACCAGTGCCTTAAAGATTTCCTTGGATTTGATATAAGTGGTTTTCTCCCTCCTGTTCCTCTACTGTTTTGGTTTNTATAAGTGGTTTTCTCCCTCCTGTTCCTCTACTGTTTTGGGAGATTCAGCAAAATTATACTCAGAAACTGATACAGTCTTTGCCAGCAATTCACGTATCACAGGTCAGTGATTAGAAGAAAATTCACAAGCCAGCAGTATACAAGACACTGTCTTCTAATAAGCCAGTACAGAAATAGCATAGTCCAAACAAGTGACAGGTCAGTCACACTATTGTTCTAGGCAAGAGGAGACCAAAGGGATAAAATCCAGATTTCACAAAAGTGGGCCGTCTTATAGGGGCTGGGGAGCCACTTCACCTGACCTCCAGCTGCCAGCACCAAAATCCAAGTCCCTTGTTGCTAGATCATGTCACTAGGGAACCAAGGCTGCTCTGGGGTTATCACTCCAGGACTGATGCATGGTGAAGAGCCGCTGCCCACTAAAGGGTCACCTTGGCCCCGGCAGGAGCAAATGTCTCTGGATGTTCTGAGAACTGTTTAGGTCAGCAAAGTGCCCAGACCAAAGCTCTCCAATAGTCTTCACAAACCCTCAGTATTTAGTCTAAAGGTCCCCTTGCCATAGTTACTTCTCTACCTGGTCGTGCGGATGAGCCCCAGCAGGCCCTCAACACCTGAGCTGCTGGGGCTTCCCCACAGCAACAGAGGAGGTAATGACATCCTGACACCACTTCACTTCCAAAAACAACCTTTTTAGGTCTTTGTCATAAACAAGTAGATTAAAACAACTTCCCCTAAGTCATAAACAGGTGGATTTGAAATCATATCAAACCAAATACACATCACTCCACCCAGAAAAAAACTTTTCTTCTTAAATAAGTGGGAAAAACAGGAGTTTTAAAACTTCACACTTGCACTTGGAAGTAAACAAAACAGACTAGGTCGTTTAGGCAGGAATCTCAAAAACACTATGGATTTGCCCCCATCCTCAGTCTGGCTACTTAGAAGTCATGAGTTTGTACAGGATCAAGAGAATTTGACTACAAATAGGTTACTTCTGGACATAAAGGAAATTGTGCTGAAAATTTTATATCATTACTGACCCTGTTATATAAAGAAGTATAAATAACTCTAAATATCCCAGAGAAAATGAATAGTACCCAATCAGATTGCCTTGTGTGGAATCAGTAACGTTACAGGGAAAGGAAAGAAAAGACCTGCAGCACTTTAGCATAATAGCATCAGACTTTCTAAAGTTTGTGTAATTTGATCTTAAATTTATGAATTGAGGAGCTGTTAGGCAACTGGATGCATCACTGGAGAAATTCTAGATTGATGAGAACAGATATAATGGATTGAACAGAACAGCTCAGTTTTACTGTGGTTCATTCTTCTAGTGTCAACCACCTCTGAGAGGAACCTGATATTCCTGTGGAGATGGAAAAACCCAGACAACAACAACAAAACCACACAACAAGGCTAACAAAACAAGGCTAACAAAGTCATTTTTCTTTCAGTAGATAGAATTGGAAAGGGAAGTAGGAGTGTGTGTGTGTGTGTGTGTGTGTGTGTGTGTGTGTGTGTGTTTGTGAGAGAGAGAGAGAGAGAGAGGGAAGGAGAAACATCACTTTGTTGTTCCATTTATTTATGCATTCATTGATTGATTCTTGCATGTTCTCCAACTGCGAATCGAACCCACAACTTTGGCGTCTTGGAACAATGCTCTAATCAACGGAGCTACCAGGCCAGGGCTAAAAGTCTTTTTAAAATAAGTTTTAGACTTACAGAAGGGTTATGAAAATAATAGTAGATGGTACAGAAAATTCTCACAGTTTCTTCATGCACAATCCTTGCATGTTAACATCTTGCCATATTAGCTTTCTCTTTCTAGATAAAGAAATAATCTTTTTTCATAACCTTTTAAGGAAATTGCAGTCATGATGCTCATCTACCCTAAACATTTTAGTGTGAATTTCTTTAAATAAGACATTCACTTACATAATTCCAGTACATTATCAGATGCAGGAGATTAACAATGATACAATACTGTTATCTAATCTTTTGACCTAATTTGTTTGTCCAGTTATTCCGTTGAAAAAAAATCTGGTCCAGAAGTCAATATAGAATTACATGTTGCATTTGGTTATCATGTTTCTTCCATTTCCCTTTATCAGAAATTTAGTCTTTCTTTGTCTCTTATTGTCTTGACATTTTTTGAAGAGTACAGGAGGGATATTTTGTAAAACGTTCCTGAGTTGGGGTCTATCTGATGTTCCCTCATGGTTATAGTTGGGTTACACATTTTGGCAGTTGTGCCACAGGAGTGATGTTCTGCTCCTCTCAGTGCATCATGGGTATTTACTTTAACAAGCTTAGGTCCTAGTATTGAAGGAAGACCTTTCTTTGGTGTTATTTATTCTTGCTTTTAAATTTATTGTAAAATTTAAAAAAATAAATGCTAGTATTAGAGCTTATTATAAATTATTTTTAAGTTAAGCCCTAGCCGGTTTGGCTCAGTGGTTAGAGCGTCAACCCGTGGGGTGAAGGGTCCAGGGTTCAATTCCGGTCAAGGGCGCATACCTTGGTTGCAGGGTCATCCCGGCCCTGGTTGAGGTGTGTGCAGGACGCAGCCAGTCGATGTGTCTCCCCCATATCAGTGTTTCTCTCTCTCCCTCCCTCCCACTCTCTCTGAAAAGCAATGGAGAAAACATCCTTGGGTGAGGGTTAAAAACGAAAAAGCATTTAAGTTAAAAGATGTCATAAAATTAATCACTTCTGAGATTCTAGTGAGTAGAGTTCAGGAAAAGTTCAGACTTGTCAAGTCCTCTTTGCCCACTGTTCTCACTGAGCCTGCGTCCTGGGCAGGCACAGGAGCCTCCGGGGAATGCTTGCGCCTGGCCGGGCGATAAATTACCTTGTCTTGTGAACTTTGAAGGGAAAATAACTCGATGTGCACTAAATATTCATCCCATATTAAAAGGCCTTACAAACTAGTTTTGAAATATATCCTTCATTATTAAATCTCTACAGGTCCCAGACTTCATGGAGTGCTTGCCAACACTGGAGTTATTTGAAAGCACTTATGACGCACTTCTCCTTAAACTGTGCTTTGGTAGCACTAGCCTTAGTTTATAAGGAATTATTGTTTTTGTATAAACAAACAAGCTTCAGCATTCTGTACTGTGGTTAATTTTCTGTGTTTGCATCTCCTTCCCTTATCTAGCCAATCAAAAATCCCCCAACAGGGAAGAAATATGTTAGATGCCCTTGTAATTGTCTCCTCATTTGTAAGGACACATCTCGGCGAATAGGCTGTCCAAGACCCAACTGGTAAGAGATGAAGATTCTTTCATTCATTCGTTGATTCAACAAGTGTTTATTAAAGGCTCATATATGCCAGGCATTGTTCTAAACAGTCTTTGTTCTCAGAGTCTTTATAGGACCTAGATTATTTCTCTTTGTTAAAGGAATGATGTACTTAGTTTGAAATTAATGGTCATTTCAAGATATGATATTCCAGAATGAGCAATAGAAGTTTTCTTGATGTTATGACATACTTGATGCACTGTAATAAATCAGTTACTTGTTAAACTTATTTAAATATAACTAATTTGTTTGCCTTTCTCACAGTTCATCTTAATCTCAAAGTGCTTTATGTTTCAATCGTCATTGTGTACCTGCCACGTGCTGCACTAATTTTTGCGAGCATAATCAGTATAAAACATCCTGGAGTTGCTTGCCCATGCCAAATGCCACCATGGATGCACCCAGATTGTAGAACACCAAGACCTTTACTTTTTTTTCTATGGTTTCTGCCTTTTGGACCAGTACATGAATTATTTGCAACCCTGTCTGAAAGGACTAAGTAGACATCAAGGAATACCAACCTGTCAGAGCACTGTGGTTGTGACACGGCACCTTGATGCCTCTGGGGCCCACACTCCTGTTTGATACAGGATATTTTACTGTGTTTAGTCTCCTGCCAAACTCAGTTGTCTTCCTAGATAAAGAATAAGAGCTATTTTTTGACTTGAACTTAGAAGAACTTGCAAACAGCAGTTAAATAGTTCCCAAGTTTTTTTGTGTTTTTTTCCCCCCTAACGTTGACTAGTGCTGCTTTCTGTGATTTTGGCTCCAAAGCCTGACACTTAATTCACTTATTAACCTAATTTTTAAAACAGTTAATGTAACCTATTTTCAGTGCTGTATTCTATGTTTTTGGTCACACATTGCAGGTTTTGCCAGCCCATTCATTGGTGAGATAATGAAGTTTCCTTTCTCTTTCCACAGTAGACGCATAATTAACCTTGGCCCAGTAATGCTTATTTCTGAAGAGCAACCAGCTCAACCTGCGTTGCCAATCCAGCCAGAAGGTACGAGGGTCGTGTGTGGACACTGTGGAAACACGTTCCTGGTAAGTAACCAGACATTTGTTGCAGCGGCATCAACCTGTAAGTGTTGGTCCTGATCACATGGATATCACCACTGCTTGTGGTCTTACAGTTTTGTCCAGTGTAAACTGATCAAAAGATTAAAATGGAGCCTTTTTAAGAAAGACTGTTAATCAGAGGTACAGCTAGAATACACTGCATCTGCTGTGAATTATATAAAAGTGCATCCTCTGCTTGGTTCATGTGTCAAAAGGGGCCTCTCTGGGTCAGCTAAGGAGGAACATCCCATTCTCCTTGGCCTGGTGAGTGGCAGAGTCTTGCCCTGCCCTCGCCTCTTCAGGGCAGCACACTCCTGCCCTCATGGATTTTCTGATCTAATAGGAGGAGAAAGACAAAACAAAGACTATTAAAAATGATTCCACTGAAATTTTCGAAATTACCTGGTAGTGAATCCTAGAGAATGATCCAAGTTGAGAAATTAGATAGCTATGTTTATGACATGATTTTTAGTACCTAAAAAAGTATGCATTTAGATATTTTCTTTCTAGATGAAAATCACTAAAGTGATATGCAAGTCAGAGATTAACTTCTAAAGCTGCCTCTTTCATACTTAATATTCAGTGCAGGTGAGTGAGTCATAGTCGCATATTGGTGTGGTAATTATGATTAGAAGCTTTACTGTTTCAGCAGGAAAGGATGTTCTGGGTTAATATATTACACTTGAGGTTGATTTCAAAATCCCTGGAGAACACTGTCTGGTGGTTGGGGGATGCAGTGTGTACCTACAGGGTGGCTATTACTGTAGAGTCTTGAGCGGATGGGGGATGTTCAGTACGGAAAGAATGAACAGACTGCAGAGTTCTTAATTCCCACTTGAGAACTCTGCCTTATTCTCATTACCAAGCTGGTCACGAACAGCCATACCCTTTCGAGGATGTTCTTTGCCCTTCAAGCTTTTACCTGTTAGGATCATTCGTTTGCTTATCCCCTACCTTGTTTCCCCTTAAGTTACAAGGTCTAAACACAATCGAGACAAGTTACAAAGTTCAATAGCATTGAAAATATTTGGTTGGTTTTTTGACTTTGTGAGTTTAATTAATAGAATAAGTAGCTGCATTTCAGTAATGAATCTAAGTATTCATATATTTAAAAGTCTAGTCCTCAAGATTTAAAGGAAAAAAAATTTTGAAGGCACATGAAATGTTTCTATCCCCTAGGAGTGAACTGAGACATAAATCTGAAAGAAATGACCCTAATTATAGCAGTGCATTCAGTTTTCATTGTAAAGCAAACCCAGCTTGCGTCAGAACCTTGGAAAAAATCATGGGAACTGTTTCAGATGGGAATCCCAAAGTTTATTTTAAGGCAGAGGGAGACTGTCAGGCGGGAAGCTTTTCCAACCATGAGAAGGTGGTTGCTTCTGCTGTGATCCTGGGTGACATTTGAACTAAGAGAAACATCAGATTGGATAGTTTTCTGTTGTTTTCCTTTTCAATTCCTCTCTTTGTTTATTTTACAGTGGATGGAACTGAGGTTCAACACTCTGGCAAAATGCCCACACTGCAAAAAAATGTAAGTTCCCTGCCATTGGAAGTGCAGCTGGGAAGTACTTGAGAATAAGTGAGATTTCAGATTTCTCATTTCAGTAGATTCTAATTTTAAGAGATGCCATGGATTGAATAAATGCTTAATATATTTATACTTTTCAATACAAAAAAAGAAATCTTTAAACTTCAATATATTTCATTTTAAAATTTAAGTTGGGCTTAATTAGCACTCTCTAAAAGGAAATCAATTTCTATGAAATGACTAAAATTATCAGTAACCTGGTGAGCATTTTCAAATGTCCTAAGAGGTTACAATCTATTACAAATAATATAAAATGTATGTTTAAATGGGCTGTCATTTAGGAGAAAAGGTACTTGTTAGCTTTTCTCATCTGCCTAAAGGCAATATAACAATGGGAAAAAATAGAAGATATTTTGATCAAAGACATTTTATGGCAGCCTTGGTGTCCCCAAGTCACCCCAAGATTCCATGATTTTCTCAGGGGACTAATAGGAATTACTAGTATATGTTTGTACTCACAGCTATACTTTATTAGTGTGAAAGTATACTAAACAAATCAGGAACAGAAAAAGGCACATGGGGCAAAGTCTCCCATTCTCTTCCAGTGGAGTCACACAGGACCCCCTTCGTTCCTCCAGCAACAAATCATTACAACACATGTAAAATGTTATCTACCAGAGAGGCTCATGTTAACCATGTTGTTAGCACAATTTAGGCATGGTAAGCCACTCTGATTAGTTAGGGAATGGTAGGAACTTTCTAGACCTTTCTAAGGACCGCAGTTGCAGGCCTGCTGGATTAACAATATACTGCACAGCATCTATTTTGATAATGAAATTTTAATTTAAAAATTACTAGTCTCTACATATATGGATGTGAATTATAACTTGAGCTAAGGGAATTAAACTGGAATGTTTTGACAATTCAATGATGAAAATTGAAAATATGAGTTCATAGTTTAATTTGTGAGATCTTTAGTATGATATAAATACCTTATCTATTTTGATAGTGAAATCCTAGCAATAATTTCTAGAAAAAGGGAATTAAAAAGTATCTGAGAAGTACAATATATGTAACAAAATGTATCCCTTTGTTTCTGCTAAAACTGATTTCAACTAAATATATCCCTGAGAGAATAACTCTTTACAGCATATTTCTAGCTTTAAAGGAACAAATATTTTCTTTTTTTACTTATTTGTGAAATTAATCATCTGAATTCTTAACTTTGTTGAATCCAGTAGAAGTCTGTACATGGAGAGGCAAAGTTAATAACTACAAATGAGTATATTGAAAAATATATAGACACTCGAAGGATACCCCCCACACACAAGTAAGTGACTATGTATGTGAATGATCCATATTTCTGTGCATTAGCCACATTTTCACAAAACTTAAGAAATCTATTGCAGATATAGTCACTGAGAACACTAAACTGGATTTAAAATTTCTATTAAAAAAAAAAAAAAACTTCTTGTGCTTCGCAGCCTCTGTGCCGAGCACAATGAGACTTGCTTTATAGACCCAGATGCACTGGCTGTGATCTGCCCACGACCCAGGAATGCAGGAGCCGCTCTCTTCATTGTGCAGATGAGGACCTTAGAGACGTCAGGGGCTTGGCTGACCTGACTTTGCTTGGTTAATTATTTTAGAACAGCGGCAATATTTTGCAAATAATAAAGAAGTATTGAATGCCTAGATACTCTATGATTGGTTAAAACATCACAAGACAGTGTGTTACTGTGAAGAACTTTTATCACTTGTTTAAGGAGCAGCTTACATAGAACTTCACATGGAATAAGTCAGCTTAAATATCATTCGGGGAATGCTGATGGAATTGGAGCCACGTGCGAAGCATGGGAGGGCTCAGGCATCCTTTGAGCAGAGATCCTGTCACATGAGCACACGTGGCTGTTTCTGGGTTTCTTTCTCTTTAGATGTTTTCCTTCATTACAAAATGCTGAGTCATGTCTTGAAGTAAGATCCTGAGAGAGAATTTTACTTCTTTAAACACAAATAACAAATACTCTAAAATTATTTTTAAGTTAGAGGAGTTACTAAATCATTACTATGAAACTATATCACAAGACACGTGGGGAAGGCTTCCCCCAGAGCTCCAGAAACCAAGAAGCCTTTTTTCACGCCACTTAATCATGCAGTTGCTGGGCTGTGGTAGCTGATAGTGAGGTTCCTTTTCAGTTGGGTGGCTTGTGGCCCCTGCTGGCCAGGAGATGAAGTCCTAGCATTCTGAAACACAAGCTAGGCTACATTTCCATGCAAATGTTATTACAGGCCTAAGACTAGTATAAACGGTGACTTAATCCATGATAATGATCATTAAATATCATTTCTCTACATCACTGATATACTTCTTTGTGGATCACCTCCTATCGTTTTGAAGAGCAGCAGACTCTTACTCTCGTCTTGCTATTTAGTATTCTATAATTATTCATGAATTCAATAAACAGTCCTCTGCTAGGTACTGTGCTTGAAATAAAAGATATAACCTCGTCTTCAGGGAATTTCATCTTGTGGGTATAGAGAAGAGAATAGACCATCACCATAAAGTCTTAAGTGCTTTGGAATAGAGGTGCCCCAGATTCTCTGCTCTGAAGAACCCCTAATCCAGATTAGAGGGAAAGGGAACCTGCAAGAAAGTGTCCAGGAGGGTGGGGTTTTGGGGGAGGTGAAGAAGATGGTGGGTTGCCCTGTGGGAGGACCTGCATGTACAGAGGGGCCAGTGTAGGTGCTAAGGAAATGGGGTAGGTGGGGTTGAACATGAAGGGATAAGAGAGAGATTGGGGTCAAGGGTGACATATCTGAGAGCTATGGAGCCATCACTAAGATAAGAAATTGAAGGTCTAGAACTGTCCAGCAGACAGATGGTAAGTTCATTATGACCATATTAAACACAGAGGAATCCCAGGTTGGCTAGATTGTCTGTCTTCATCCATGACAGTCAAACTCACCACCTGCTTTTCAAATCACCAGTTGTGGATCAACGTGGCCATGACGTTGTCCTTCCTTCACCCCAGGATAACTGAGAGCTGAACAAATTCTATAATAGGGTGTCCCCCCAAAATGTATACACACTAATAGCTGATAACTCACTTAATTTTCACTCTTTTTCAAGTTTAACTGATTTGAAATAATGGGTGAAGCCAGACTAAGCTTTGAATAAAAAAAATTTATACACTAGACTTTTTTATGGGGATAGATAAAAGATAAAGTTTACAGCACAAAACCGGCAACAGCTGATTTGAATTGAGGGAACACAAATAACAAACGAAATGATCCTTGATGTTTGCAATTGCATTACTTCATGTTCTCAGCAGTGCTTAGGCCAGAATGGTCATCAGTTTGAAAACAGACATTGACAGAAAAAATTATTCATTTCTGTAGATTCTTTTAAATTTTGAAAATGAACTGTATGTTAATAGACACTGACTTTATAATCATTGAAAGTGTGTATCCATTTTTGGGAACACTTCATTGATTAGCTCTTTACAAACGTACAGCTTTAAACTTTGGCTAAACCCTTGCTTGGTATTTAAGGGTTCTTGATCAACTCCTTCCCCCACTCCCCAAAGAAGTCATCCCCAGATAGTCATTGTTCCTCTTAAATGCCCATCCCTTGTGCCCAGTACTCTGTCTCAGCAGAGGAGTTGCCACATGTCTCTCTGAGATGGCTGAGGCTGTCTGTGAACTCCCTTTTTTCTTAGAAACCTATCTCTGTCTGCTCACTTCATTTCCGTTTCTCAGAGTGATGCAGGTCTCTTCCTTTCATGTGATCATGGCTCCCCATTCTCTCTGGAGTAAGTGCCATTAGTCACTAGGCCACTGAATTGGTTCTGACAAAATTCACATTCCAACTGCAAATTCTAATGGATCTGCTCAGTCTTCACGCTGCTTGTTTTCTCTGCAGTGCTAAGCACTATATTAGAGTGTTATCCCATCTGCCCACTGGCCTAGCTAGAAGCCTGACTGTACCTTTATTCCCCATTCAGTTGGAAACAAGTCCTGTCACTTCCGTCTTGGCATTTTAATCCTGTTCTCTTATTCTCATGGTTCATGCATTCAGGACCTCTTACTGGGAAAACTGCAGGAGCTTTCTAACCTATCTCCTGGCCTTTGGCCTTACAGTTCTCTATCCATTTGCTAGAGTAATGGTTCCCAAAAGCAAATATGGATTTTTAAATCTCTGGCTTCTTCTCTTTTAGTAGCTTCCAAATTAATGGCCATGGCATACCATTGTGCAGGCTGTACAACCCATGGCAGTGCTATTTCTATTGTTACCTTAGGTTTGGCTCTTAGTGGTATATAAAGTATGCTGAGGAAGGGCACTTTCTACTTATGACATCAGTACACCACATGGACTATTACAGGCCCATTACCAAAAATGCAAAATCAAACTACGAACTTCTTAGTAAGGTGTGTACAGCCCTCCAGGTGTAGGCGTTTGCCTAGCATCTCCAGTGGCATCTTTGTTATGTTTTCTTCCACCTCTACATACAACTTCCTACCCTTGACTCAACAAATTCTTCTACTTCCATAAATATACAATACAGTTCCTTGCTTCTGTCCCTTAATCTCATGCTGCTAGGCCTGGGATGACCTTTCTAATCCCTTTCTCATGCCTGTAAACATGGAAGATACCTGCTTAACTCCACAGCTGGCAGGAAGAGATGGCTGCAGCAGGAGACTGGTTCCCTGTGATGAGTCAAGGGGATCATTGAGCAGAACCATCTATCAACCCCAGACTGTGTATTTACCTTCCAGTTCCTACATGCAAGAGAAATACACTTCTTCTTAAGCTACTGCATTCCGGATTTTGCTATTACACAATTCTAGCATGCACTCTATCTCATACTTTTTAGGGTAAAAAGAGTTATCACTATGATCACTTCATCAGAAATATAACTTCTGAACTTGTATCCACCAAATAATATAACTTCAAAATATGTAAAATAAAAATGATTGTAAGGACTATGGTCTTGTAATTCAAGACATAAATACAAAAAGCAAAATTTTTAATAACTTTTATAAGGAAAGATAGAAAAGTATTTTTATGGCAGAGGTAGGAAATAATTTCCTAGAAAAGGCACCAAAAAATCACAAACCTTAACGGAAAAGACTGGCGGTTTTAACTACATGAGAATTACCTTACATTACATTGATTTTTGTTTGTAAAACTCATCAAAAGATGTTATTAAAACTGAATTTTTAAACACACTTGGATACTATAGCTGCCTGGAATAGTATCCAGATTATATAAATACCATTTGTGAATTAATAAGCTAAAGACATCCGAACACAAAGAAACAAGTGAACAAATGATTCATAGAAAAAGAAAACCAATAGCCAACTAGCATTTCAGAAGACGTTCAACAGGCTAGAGATCAGAGATGTACATATCAAAACCATTCCTACTCGTGAAATTGTCAAACATGAGAAAACCCCAAGTGTGGACATGTTGGTGAGGGTGTGAGGGGAGCAGTGGGGGCTCCATACAGATTTTGGTGGGATATGACTTTGATGTTTATTTAAGTTGAAGATATGACTACAATACAACCCAGCAATTCTATTTTTAGGTATATGTTTGAGAAATTCCTGCATATGTAAATAAGGAAAGCTAAAATGGTTTCAAAGCAGTGTTGTTATAATAGCAAGAAATTATTTTTAAGAACTCTGTTCATCAACAGGGAGAGTAAAGCTGTATTTTCACATAAAGAAGGGTAGTTGTGAAAATGAATGAATTAGGTCTCCACATATGAACAGGGAAAAGTCTCATACAGAGTATTGAGAAAATAAAAAGGCAGGTAACAGAAGCATACAGTTTAACACAAATATATGTAAAGTCTTCACACATGCAGAACAATATTATATATTGCATACAGTTTAACACAAATATATGTAAAGTCTTCACACATGCAGAACAATATTATATATTGCATACAGAAGAGATTTTATTGTCCACACAATAGGTGCTGATTGGTCATTGCCTCATCCCTGTGATGAGATGGCACTTGGGTTGTAGAGGGACAGCAGGTTATTTCTTTGCTGGGAAGACTTCTCAGAGGTAATGACTATTTAAGTTGTGAGACAAATGGGCAGAATTCATGCACTGAAATTAATGTACTAAATTGTATTTTTTGGCCCACAGAAAAGCTGCTCCAATATTCATTTACAACCTTTCTGGTTCTATATAAATTTATGGATTATTTGTTCTAGTTCTGTGAAAAACACCATTGGGTGTTTTTTTTTAATTTATCTTTATTGTTGAGAGTATTACAGGTATCCCATTTTTTACCCCCATTGACCCCCTCCACCTCGCTGCCACCCCCTCGCCAGGCCTTCACCCCGTTATTGACTGTGTCCATGGGTTATGCACATATGCATATAACTTCTTTGGTTCATCTCTTCCCATCCTCCACCCCCCTTCCCTCTTCCCTCTGAGATGGGACCCTCTGTTGCATGCTTCAGTGTCTCTGGATCAATTTAGTTTGTCTGATTCTTTTGTTTATTGGCTACTTCTTAAAGAAGACCCTTCAACATTTCCTGTAATACTGGCTTGGGGGTGATGAACTCCTTTAGCTTTCTTTTGTCTGAGAAGCTCTTTATCTGACCTTCAATTCTAAATGATAGCTTTTCTGGGTAGAGTCATCTTGGTTATAGGTTCTTGCTTTTCAGCACTTTGAATATTTCTTGCCTCTCCCTTCTGACCTGCAAAGTTTCTGTTGAGAAATCAGCTGACAGTCATATGGATGCTCCCTTGTAGGTAACTAAATGCTTTTCTCTTGCTGCTTTTAAAGATTCTTTGTCTTTAACCTTTGGCATTTTAATTATTATGTGTCTTGCTGTGGGCCTCTTTGGGTTCCTCTTGTTTTACTAAAGCATGTTACTAAAGCCACAGATGAAATGAAGGATGAAATGAAGAGTGATTGTGTCAATGCTTAATATTCTCTCTCACATGAACTTGCAGTTCCTCAGTGGGTTGTGCTCTTCCACGAAGACGCTGCTGTGCATATATTACCATTGGAATGATGTGTATTTTCATTGGAGTTGGCTTAACTGTGAGTATTACTCTACTCACTATCAGAATTCTTTCCTCTCAATTTTATCACAAGTAAATGGTGAGGCCTGAAGAGTGTGCCTCCCTGGCATACCAGGCCCAGAACCTTCTGAAGGACTATGGGCAACTGGAAGTTCAGCCCATGGACCTGTTTTTAGTGGAGCTCACCCATCCAAGGGAAATGGTGTCTTGGGACTTCTCTAAAGGTCCTTGGCATTGGGGACTTTACCACCCATTTAACAGCAGCCCATTTGTTTTCACCTAATGCCAGAACCAATTTGACCATGGCCAAAGCCAAAGCAATACTCAATCAGCTTTGGAGGTCTGGAAAACCATTCTGCTCTTTAGTCAAGTGAAGCAGAGGTTATTATCAATATGGGGGTGGCTTGCTGAAGCTAAGCAGTTGGTGTGGGATTATGCTGAGGGAGAGGAAGGAGCTGATCCTTTTTGCTGCCGTTTACTTTCCATGCTCCTTTGTTGCACCTGTCCCCATGTCACAAGCCAGGTGGAATTATACAGATTAAGTTCCTTTCAGAGATAACATGTTTTAGTGGGTTTCTTTGCTTGCTTCATAAAACTTATAGCTACTATAACTAGCAGCACCATCTTAATAATTTTATTCTGTCAGTGATAATCACTAGTACACCAACTCATACTTTATAGGGATTTTGTGGTCTCAGGGATATAGTTCATAAAAATCACATGTGAAAAACCACAAGTTCTCTAAGCAGATAATTTTTTTTTAAGTTTCCAGTCTTTTTTTATTATATTGCTTTATATTTTAGGTTGGCACCCAAGATTTTGCAAGGCGATTTCATGCAACCTATGTTTCATGGGCGATTGCTTATCTCTTAGGCTTGATCTGCCTTATCCGAGCTTGTTACTGGGGAGCCATAAGAGTGAGTTATCCAGAACACAGTTTTGTATAAGCTTGCTTATGGGTAAGTGGTGCAGGTGAGAGTACCTAGCAGTTCCGGATAAGCTGCTCTGGACATCTTTAAATCATTTATCCTAATGTATTCCATCTGGTTTATGTATAAAGTTTCAAGGCTTTGGGAGTCTTTTATGAACAAATGCTCATTGCACTACATTATATGCAAATAATTGTTTGTTTGGCTGCTAAGTTTTCAAGCTCTGAGTAACAAAGCCATGTCTTCATGTTCTTTTATGTCTTTTAAACATATTTTTGGATTTGTCACCAAGCATTAGATCTAACATCACCTTTCATTTTTAAATCAGGTATTCCATTACTTGCTGATCTGTGAGTATTCCCAGGAAGTGTTTATAAATGTTTCTACAATAGCTTTGCATTTATACTTACATTTTAATTAAACTATCAAAATTGCCTGCTTTAAAACTAAGCAATGTGCATTTTGCGTGAACTGCTTACTGTAACTTTAGCCTAAGATCATAGTGACCTTATTCAGGAAAAGAATTTGAGCGTACCTTCAAAGACTTGACATTCCTGTCAGATAAAAACCATTTCTAGATACTGTATGCTTGTTTTTTGTTGTTTGTAGAAAGATACACTATTTTGGTAGTGATTTAAAATACAATAATTAAAATACTTATTTGTCCACAGTTAAAGATGACATTGGATAAATGTTTTTTCCTCAAAGATCACAGGACTTTTGTCTTTTATTTTTGTCTGTTGTTTTATTTACTAGTTATAAAAGTTCTGGTTTAGATTTATGACTTTAATGTTTATCAGCTGTATGTACTTCTTTATAATGCCTGGAGGAAGTATTTTACATAACTTTTATAATACTTAATCATTTAAACAAAGATTTATTTACATTGGGCTGCCCTCCTCTTCATTAAATCATGGTAAATTTTTCCTATTGGGATAATTATGGGCTACTTATCTATGAAGGGAGCCTGTGACATTTTACACTAGCCAAAATGTTGAGATTAGAGGCAGTCACTCTTACCATTCTTCTCAAATGTAGCTGGTCAGATAATTACAAATTTATTCATAAAAATAGATTACAAACAAAAAACAACAAAATAGTTTTCAAAGAATTCACTAGGATGTAAGGAATCATGTCTGACACTGCCCATCTTTGCAATTTTGAAAAACAAATTGCTTAGTTGAAAAACAATGTTCTAAAGCCCTTCATGTAGAATTAGAAAATGGGATGATCTGAGTAAATTAACTGGGTATTTAGGGGATAAGAGCAATATTTTAATTTATTTATGTTCCCAATTAGTACAAAAATGTACTCATTCCCAAATGTAGTTGGGAAGAAAATACATGTAAACTTCAAAGAGTAAGTGAGAACTATATATATATGCAGTAGCCCAGGATTATATGTACCTTTGAAAATACACTAATAAAGATTATCATTCAAAGATCACCTTGTTATATTCCATTTAAAAAAATAAGACGTAATTTCCAAAATCGCCTTCAGATCTTATTCTGAAACTTTCATGTTTAAGAACATATATTATATAATAATCACTTACTTTTCTAGTATTTTCATTTTAAAAGTATAAATTTCACATATTTGTAATATACTTTATGTGAGGTATGTAATAGTTATTTCTTTTCTTATTGGTTAACTAGTTGTAACAGCATTATATATTGAATAATCCATTCTTTTCTTATTTATTGGAAATCTCAAATTAAAGAGTGGGACACAAGTAGGTTTATAGTTGTTTGTACGGAAAATAATACAATAACTGATAAATAATAATACAAGAATAAACTCTGTGTTTCATGTACTCAAAACTGTAAACCTACTTGAGCCCCACCCTGTATAAGCTGCATAATTACCTTCCTTTTGGAGAATAAATCTGTGATAGCAGAAACTCTGGTGTTGTACCCCAGCATCTAGAGCAGTGCCTAATGTATATGTGCTCAGTAGATGTGTGCTACATCAATGAATAAATGACTGAGTAAACTGGTATGTTACATTTTTATATGGTCTTGGGTCTGGACTTTACAGTTTGTTACAGAATGCATAGGTAAATATTTATATAATTTTGTGTTAAGTGAAACCCTAAAGCAGAACTCATGTAAGAGAGGACCAATTGTATGATTAAAAGAAAAAAACATTTCATATGAAAAAAATCACAAGCAGAGCCAAAAGACAAACTGGTGGAGACATTTTCAAGATAGTAGAAAGAGTTAACCTTTTTAATATGAGGAGGGACTAAGAGCATGAAAAAGCAATTCACAAAAGAAGGAATTTAGTAAGTAATAAACATGAACTTTTTTTTTCAATTCGCTAATCATTAAAGAATGGAAAAACAAAAAGATACTATTTTTATCTACCATATTAACAAAGAATGAAAGAGTGATTATATCCCTTAATGTTGAGTATGTGGGAAAATACACACATACATGTTCTTTGCTGTAGTAATTCTGTCTCTAGGAATTTATCTCAAAAGTGTTATGGATAAGAGAACAAATGTGTATGGACAGTGATGTTTGTCACATTTTTGTTTACAATGGGAATTTAAAAAAGGAAAAAGTCCAAACATTCAATAACATGAGTATAGATGAAATGGTATGCTCAGTATGACATAATAGACAATCATTAAAAATTATTATATTCCTCATCTGTTGAATTGAAAATGGTTCACAAAATATTGTGTGACAATGAGATTAAAAATCAATACGTAGAGTATGATCCACATTTTGAAAATGATTTTATGTGTATGTTTTAAAAACTAGGGAAAGTTGAACACTAAACTGTTAAGAGTGGTTATCTCTGAGTGATAGAAGACAAATGGCTTTTTAAAAACTTTTATAGGCATACCTTGGGGATATTGTGGGTTTGGTTCTGGATCACTGCAATAAAATGAATATCACAATAAAGCAAGTCACTCAATTTTTTTGTTTTCCCAATGCATATAAAAGTTATGTTTATGCTATACTATAGTGTAGTAAGTGCACAATAGCATTGTGTCTAATAAACAGTATACATATCTTATTTTAAAATTCTTTATTGCTAAAAAATGCTGATCATTATCTGAGCCTTCAGCGAGTCCTAATCATTTTGTTGATGGTCTTTGCCGTGATGTTGATGGCTGCTGACTGATCAGGGTGGTGGTTCTGAAGACTGGGTCGGCTGTGGCAATTTCTTAAAATACCACAACACTAAAGTTTGCCACATCTATTGGCTCTTACTTTCATGAGTGATTTCTCTGTAGCATACGATGCTATTTGATAGCATTTTGCCCACAGAACTTCTTTCAAACTTGGAGTAAATTCTCTCAAACCCTGTTGCAGCTTTATCATTTAAGTTTACGTAATATTCTAAACCCTTTGTTGTGATTTCAGCAATTTTCACAGCTTCATCAGACGCAACTCCTCATTGATTAAACTTTTATCGTGAGATTGCTGCTATTCAGTCCCATCTTCAGGCTCTAATTCCAGTTCTCTTGCTGTTTCCACAACTGCAGTTACTTCCTCCACGAAGGTCTTGAACCCCTTAAAGTCATCCATGAGGGTTGGAATCAATTTCTTCCAAACTCTCTTAATGTTGGTATGTTGACCTCTTCCCATGAATCATGAATGTTCTTTATGGCGTCTAGAATGGTGGATCCTTTCCAGAAGGATTTCAATTTACTTTGTCCAGATCAATAAGAGGAATCACTATCTAAGGCAGCTGTAGCCTTACAAAATGTGTTTCATAAATAATAAGACTTGAAAGTCAAAAGTACTCCTGGATCCATGGGCTGAAGAATGGATGCTGTGTTAGCAGGCATGACAACAACATGGAGCTTGTATGTCGCCATCAGAGCTCTCGGGTGACCATGCACATTATCAGTGAGCAGTGATATTCTGAAAGAAATCTTTTATTCTGAGTAGTAGTCTCAACAGTGGATGCCACTTTTCAGTAAACCATGTTAGTTACAACAGGTGTGCTATCATCCAGGCTTTCATGCTCCATTTATAGAGCAAAGGCAGAGGGCATTTAGCACAATTCTTCAAGACCCTAGGATTTTCAGAATAGTAAATGACAGTGTCTTCAACTCAGTCACCAGCTATCTAAGCCCCTAACAAGAGAGTCAGCCTATCCTTTGAAGCCAGCGCGGACTTCACCACTCTAGCTGTGAAAGTCCTAGATGGCATCTTCTCCCAGTAGAACGTGAAGTCTTCTTAATCAGCAACTCTTTCCAAACGTTTCAGTTTATCTATAATATACCTGTGACATGTACATGTATGTATATGTTTCACATGCCTAGTGTATATTTTCGGTGCTTATACATAAAATGGCTGTTCAGACATCAACTTTTTAAATATCCTATTATAATGTCATATTTACAAGTCCCAAACCGAACTCCTGTTTCCTTCCCCAAACCTGTTGTTCTTGCACCCCCTACTTGTCACCATCAGCTGCTCACTCACCTGCTGTCCTAAGTCAGGCACCCAGGAGTCACCCTGGTTCTCTCATTCACCCCTTCCATCCACCGTCCCCAAACTCCATTGATTCCACTTCCCAACTTTCCCAGACCCGATTCCTTCCTGCAACTATTACAAACCCCTCCAAGGAGGCCTTTCTGCACCCGGTTGAATGTCACTATGCCGTCTCCAGAAACCTACCTTTCGTACTGCTATCAGGGTGACCTTTCAAATGTTAAAAGACAGACAGAAACAAAACCAACCTGTAAAGGTTCGAAATGTGATTTGAGTCACCTGTCCTGTTTCATGCCCACCGGAAGCCGTCTCCCTTCACCCCCTTCCTGCAGTGAACCGCCTGGCAGAATCCTGGGCAGTCAGCCCTGTCCTGTGGCCCCAGATCTGTCCCCATAACTGTCCCCGGTTCTGGAATAAACCTGCAAAGGAAAAGCCTGAAGATTAAGGGTTCGATTCCGACGGAGTTGGGTCGACTAGTTTTGTTCCTCCCAGGACCGCAATCTGGGTGACAAAGAAATCGCACCCAGGAGTCACTCCTGTAGGCCCTCATCCCAGCCCCACTGGACTCTGGGCGGGGCCACAGCTCTCACAGCAGGAACCGTTCACAGACAGGGCCAGGCCACGGGCAGGGCCACGCCTGGAGCCCCGCAGACAGTTCCTGGGGACTCGCCCGGTGCCCTGCGAGACTGTCAGCACCTCGGACAGGGCTCCGCGCTCTCCCAGCGCCCTGGCCCCTCCCAGCAGCCGTG